CTCTTTAGCTTCTTTAAAAGAAGATTTTTTAAGTTTTTACTATATGCATATAGGGAAAATCAATGACCCCCGGGGCGGGGCCAATTTTTTGAACCCCAGGGCTTTTATTTGAACAAACTTGGTAGACACCTATTAGAACACGTTTCATGCTAAATATCTTAGCCATAGCTCTTTTGGTTCTTTAAAAAAAGATTTTTTAAGTTTTTTACTATATGCATATAGGGAAAATCAATGACCCCCCCCGGGGCGGGGCCAATTTTTGACCCAGGGCTTTTATTTGAACAAACTTGGTAGACACCCATTAGAACATGTTTCATTCTAAATATCTTAGCTTTAAACTCTTTTGGTTCTTTAAAAGAAGATTTTTTAAGTTTTTACTATATGCATATAGGGAAAATCAATGACCCCCTGGGTGGGGCCAATTTTGACCCAAGGGCTTTTATTTGAACAAACTTGGTAGACACTCACTAGAAGATGTTTCATGCCAAATATCTAAGCTCTAGCTCTTATGGTTTTTTTAAAAGAAGATATTTAAAGTTTTTTCTTTCGGTTGCCATGGCAAACGCAGAGTTTGCATGGAATTAAATTCTTTGACAATTTTTTTAAAGGTGACCACCAAAGGAACATTTCTGTGAAGTTTTGGATGAAAATTGGCTTAGTGGTTTATGAGGAGATGTCATTAAAGTAAAAGTTTTACGGACGGACGGACGCCGGACGGACGCCGGACGAAAAGCGATCACAAAAGCTCACCCTGTCACTTTGTGACAGGTGAGCTAAAAAAGGTCAAGGTCATCAGATTTGGTAATAAATACAGACTTTTAAAGGAAAATATATAGACATTATGTATACCAAGTTTCATTAAGATATATAATCAAATAATGATTTTATTTATATATCACCATGATAAGCCTTTTTTACTGATTTCCCAGAAATAAACTTGGCACTGGAAAGTATGGCGTACCAGAAAGTTGGCAGCGAAAGAGTTAAATTAAAATAGCTTTGCATGGAATATATAAACAATTCATATGTGAAGAAAAATTCATGTGAAGTTGAAAACACTTTTAACTTAATATTTTTATGTGAATATCAGCCAGTAATGTGAACTTTTTTAAAGTGGATTTTTAAAAAAATTAAAAAGTTGACATTTGGACCATACTTTTTACTGTTTTGATATTTATCAGTGTGGCATTAGGAACAAATGGAATTTAACAGTATTATGTTGGCTGATGAATTGCTCCAAGTTTAAGCACCATTCATAAGGTCTTACCCCGTCTTACTATGAATATTTCAAAGCAGTCAATTATGATTGAAAGTTTCTTAGGCAAAATGTTTACAGAAACTTATGAGGCATTGTCGTCTGCAGTTTCTTCTATTTCTTGTCAATATATAAATATTTCATTCTCAACAAACATAAGATGAATAACCAAACTAAATATTGTTTATAAACATGGAGGATGAAGTCTTAAATCTATATGCCAAATCTTTCAATGGAAATTATGTTTGAACAGTCTTGTAACAATCTCTCAAATGCATATTCTTTTTCACTTGACACTAAATCCATAACAAGCATCATTAACACTTGTAGTTTATTAATAAAAATACTTTAGGTATTGTTGTATTACTGGAGTTGGAGATATTTGTCAGTATGTGTTGGTCATATATTCAAGAAATATTTTTATTAGGGCCATTTTCTTAAGGAAGGGAGGTGTGTGGAGTGAATCATAAGTAAACAACGAAATGGGCTAATAATGTAAGGTTTTAAAAAAAAACTATTCTTCAAATCTTATCAATCCCTTCTGTACCATTTGGGACATATAACCATTGTTTGCATGTAATTATTTTAGTACATGTATAAATATTTTATATTTCAGAAGTAAGGTGTTAATGTTATACTTCATTTTTTCAACAATTTCAACTTTGAAGCATTTGAAAATTCACAATAGAAAAGGCATGGGCTGTTTCAACAAAAAAAATGAGGAAAAAAATCAATGAGTACATACAGTGTACTGCAGTCATATCTAATTATGATATAAACATTTTTTTGTCAGCAAACTCCAAACCTATCCATATATATAGCAATATTTTAAAATAAAGTGCAACCTATGTGGAGCAACCAACTGATAAGAAATAACCCTGTTTTCTTCAACAACAATATCATAATTTCCTGATGTGACATTTTGCCGATATTAAATAAATCTAACTTGAGCCGCGTCACGACAAAACCAACATAGTGTGTGTTTGCGACAGCATGGATCCAGACCAGCCTGCGCATCGCCCAGTCTGATCAAGGATCCATGCTGTTCGCTATCAGTTTTCTCTACTTGTATAGGGTTGATAAGCGAACAGCATGGATCCTGATCAGACTGATGCGCAGGCTGGTCCTGGATCCATGCTGGTCGCATAACGCCATTATGTTGGTTTTGTCATGACACGGCTCACTTGTCTAGAGCCACACCTCTCGGCAACATACAACTAAATCATTTTTCCTCCCAAAGGGTGTTGCTCTGCAGAAGTTGCAATTCATTTCCCTTTAACATATATCACAATGTTACAGTAGCTTTGTATGTGTCGTTATCTATGTTTAAAGGGGCTAATGCTAATCTTTATTATCATATTGTTTTCATCTGCTTATGATCATATCTGCAGCAGAGTTTTAGCATAACATTTTCCTGTTATATAACACGTAAAGTACTTTTAAAATACATATATAATACAAGTAAACAGGCAAAAATATGCATTATCTAATTAAAATATTCAACTGCAATATATGTAGGTGTAATAATGATTTTGAGCATATGTTACCAGCTTTATCATTCACTTGCAAACATTATTATATAAACATTTTTTTTACTAAACATGATTTAGCTTATCAAAAACAAGCGAATATATATTTTGTAATCTTAAAACTAGTCTGTAAACTGATAATTCTCAACATTTACACATATCATACAGTTTAAAAACTGAGCTTATCCATTAATACTTGTTAATATTGAACCTCATACAAATATGTACCTTCTTATGTTACAGTCTAAATTTTTGTACCTCACTGATAATGAATACCTTTTAAAATCTCTCAAATAATTACCATGCAATGTATTAACTTAATAGTTGCCTGGACACTTGTTGATTCAAAAATTAACATATTCGTTTATTACATATAAACATATTTGTTGATAACACATTAACATACAATCATAACCTAAACAAAACAGACAAGTAAGGATAACACCAAAAAATCAGAAACTGTTCACAACACTTCTTTGACAAATAAATAATTTTAAAATAAAATCCACCATCCTGCTGAGCTAGAGTAACTGTATCAATTAAACAACTAATTGCAAGAAATCCTGACCTTGTCTATGAAGATATTCTATAATTAATCAGCATAGCAAAACCGAACAATGATCCCCTTGACAGGCTCGCGTCCACTCTTCCCTGGCACAACCAAACACCAGTCCCTGCGACATCGGCTACATTTCATGTGCATACATCCACCTGAAATCATATTTATATTTCTTTAGACATCTGATGATAACTCTGTACATCTAGACTATTAATACATAGATGAATGGGAAAACAATTACTACATTTAAAACATTTTCCTATTTTGTTCTCTTCAGTTCTATTTTAACAAACACAGAAATAAAAATATCTAGCTAAACTTGTTTGTTTTTGTTGGTTTTTTAAGAAAACCTTTTCAATCATGCTTTGGCCGAATCTTGGCAGTCAATCCCCCTAACTGGCTTTCCTGGATAACAAACCAGTAATTATTAATTTGTCCCCAAGTGACCAAATACTAATCCAAAAGAAGTCAAACAATGAAATTTGCCAACACCTACATCAAATGCTAGCTTTCACCAGCATAGTATCATGCACTAATGATAGTGTAGTAGAAAATAGTAACAACTAATATCAGCATACTGGCATGCGAGCAGTTCCCGTACAAAAATCATAGTTACTTTATCATTATTTTTTATTACGCTCACTCACCAATATTTGAATGTTACACATCAATATTCGGCTCGTCACACAAATCATGGAAATTCCATCATGTTCTAAACATAGAATAACCCTTACTTATGAGGCCTCATATGGGGTACCGAAATTATCCATTATTTTGTATGAAGAGAATTAGTTCCCGTACATAAAATCTAACCCATTATAATTATACAATTTTATTATATCGGACCTATTTTTCATTTACAATTGTTGAAGAGACCATTATCTAAGAGATAAATAGATGTAATTCAGGAAAAAGAGCGTAGACTAAATGCGGGTATCTATTAACCGTACCGTTACCGCCAACGCATTCATATGCAGTAACATGCTTGTATGCATGATATTTTACGCATCAAAGCCATAAAATTATTATTTATAGTAATATTAGTCAACATTCTGATAATTAAAACAATTTTTTCATCACATTGCCTACTTATTTGTAAACAGGTGGTATTAGTGGAAAACCTTTAACAAGCCTCACGTGTAAGTATTTTTTGCGCATGCGCGCAGGACGGAATCCCCCAGAGAAAACAAGGTCACGTTTTGACGACGCACAGGTGAAAGTGATTTAAAATCAGACTTTAAATACGTACTGCCGAACTGACACTTAGATTTTGTCTCGTTTATGTATCTGCTTGATTTGAAATGAATTTTTGAAGAATGCAAGTAAAAATCAAGCGTTTAAATGAAAAATACGGGTAATGCTTCTGTACGGGAACTGCTCGCATGCCAGTACAGTGGAAGGTTACTGATAAATGCAGTTAGTATGTATACTGGATAAAAAGGTTGAATGAAGTAACAGCTAACATGAATGTTTGGATTTCTGTCCTCAAGCATTGACCATGTATTTAGGAAAAATGATATACAAATAATAGCTACCATTTCTCTCAGTTTTTACAGCACAGTGAGGACAAGGTTTTGTGGTGTCTTGTATGGTTTTTCCATGGATGCAGCTTCCCATCGTGCCCTAAGAGCCCTCTCAGAGTCCACATTCCATTGTCTGAAATGGTGAAAATATAGATATAATCCAATGGAGAAATATTAACTATGCCTAAAGAAGATTGAAAATCATACTGCAGATATGAGACTTGGATACTTGACTACTATTAGTTTTTGATATCAAATAAGTGTGTGAAGTTAAAAGCAAATAGTGATTGATGAGATCTGATGTTGTACAAGAAGTTAATATTAACACTTTAACCAGTGCAATGCCAACACACGGACAAGAAAGACAGCCGGACTATTCTTCCAAAAGACTGAAGTTGAAGCTGAATACACTATTAAGAAGCTGAATTCATATGAACCTCAAACCTGCAGCTGTTGTTAGCCAAATAAAAAGACCAATATGAATTCAGCAAATTAATAATAACATACCTACAAATAGATTTGTTTTATCAAAAACCATACAAAAATCAAATAATTTACCATGTTGACTTGGGCTGATGCATCATGGACTGGCAAGAACCTCTGTGCACTTCCTGTCTACACTGACCGACAAAAACTCCATCTATAAGTCAACCAAAAAAATTTTCCATTCATCTAAATTGTCAAGAAAGCATGCATTAGATAAAAACAAAGGTTAACCAAAAGAAAGTCTTCTAAGTTTGTTTTGTTTGTTTGTTTCATTTTACGCCTTTTCCAACAGTATTTCAGTCATATAGGCGGGTAGTTTCCTAACCATTGTTCCTGGAGAGTTACACCAGTACTAGACTACCTTCCTCCTCGCTAAACTAAGATTAACAAGTTCAAATGTAAATGACCCTACCATAACCTATGAAAATGTGATGGTTGCTCTAAATAAGGCTTTTTTCTGTCACAGCAAGGGCCATTTATAGGCTTTTTACCTCTGGAAAATTCTTTAAAATCATGAAGTTATCCCCATAAAATTCAGTGTAATCAAATTTTGCGTTTTCTGCTATAAAAATAGCCCTGATTTGTCTGACAACTTCTAACTTCTTCCTCAATTAGAAATTAGCATATGACTATACACTGTATATGACTATATTTTTGAAAATCCAACAAAAGCAAGACATAAAAAGTAGTAAAAATTGATTCAGTGCAAAGCATAATTACGATACATCAATATCGGATGGCAAATATCGACAATACATGGATAAATACCCCTAATTTCTTATATATTATCCACTTTCATACATGGTCAAATGATTTTAGTAAAATGCATTTTCTATCCATACAAATATGTTGTGTCCTGTTTATAAATATCCTTTGTATGATTTTTTTTTCTCATCACTACTATGAAATGTATCCATTATATAACAACAGCTTTGTGTTAGACATGGCCCCCTGCTTTTGTATATGTTTTGAATGAATTTTCATAATTTACCGCCTGTTAAATAATCAATCAAAATTATCAATTTTTTCAATGTTATCAATTATTGATTGACAGAAAAATATCAATGTAACTTTTGATGACAGCTCTACCGAAGAAAATAAGAGATAAATACTCTACTTGTTACATACCCGACATGTTCTGCACTGAACATTCCTTGCATCATCTTCGACTATAATCCCCTCGCCACAGCCAGTGTTCGGACAAAGTATACCTCCAGATTGTAACAGGCACTCTTCCGCACCAAAATCTTTATATCGTTCATACTGTAACACAACCATTCCTTTTATTAAGCATGTCAGTTTACAGTATTACAATTTTATGAATTATTGAAAGACAACAAGTTTTATGTACTGTTCTGGTTGCTATATAACTTTAAGTATAACCTATGAAAACTACATCATGGAATCGGTACTTTGGCTCAGTGGTCTCATTGCTACTTTAGGTTATATGCAGGATGTTGTAAGTTTGAATCCCAGCCACAGTGCCATCTTTTCTTATGTATTTGCAACTTAATGGTCGTGTTTTTATGTCAAACCAACACAGTAGAAGTCATATGGCCACTTTCCACCTGAACTGGTGGAGAAAGACCTCAGGTGCCCCTCTTTGAATTATTTCAGGCACGAACGGGCATCAGAGTAGAACCACAGATGTTCCATGAACTAGCTGGATAGTTTTCTCACATGAAATATTTTAAAGTCCCTAGTGGGATTCGGACCTCTAGTGGTGAGGGACAAGTGGTTTGAAGTCAACAACTTTAACAACTTGTCCAAAGACGCCTCAGCCATGATCATTTAAACATCTGTTAAAGTGAGATGAAAGAATTTATATTCACGGCTGTAATTAAAGTCGCAGTATAATTCATCTGTTTTAGTGATCAGTAATTTTTTATTGTTTTGTATACTTACTCGCAACATTAATATAAATTCTGATTAATCATATATATAAAACAGAATTAAATACACTGCAACCAACTTGCGTTTTTTTGGAAAATATATTTTTTTGTTTTATTTGATTGAAGAGAACGACCATCTGCTGTTCACAAGTTGATTACAGTCCATTTATTTTATATCTAATAATTCATGCAATGTATCAATCATTTAATAAAAACATACAAAATGTTACTAAATGAAAAAAATCTGCATTTGTATTACTGTTACGTCCATCTTTTATATATAATTTAAATATGAATATCACTGAGTAAATAGATAAAACTTCTTTCTATAGATCAAATCAATGCGTCAAGCACTTGTTCATTTCACCATATGTCTTCAAACTCCTCCCTTATAGGAGCTGAGCGAGAAGTCAGTTCTCCCTCACATTTGGTCTAGCTAGAGCCCTGTGTATATTGAATTTAGTTTAGTTTTTACAATTTATTTTAGTTTGTGTTGGAAGCTATTGAATTTCCTACCTGTTCCTTTCCTAGCAATTTGAAGTGGTGAATATCTTTTAACAGAGAACCTTCACAACCAACTGCCAAAATAAAAGATAATGAACATTCAAATATAAACAAGAATGTAATTAAAGTTTTCCAATGACAATTCAATACAATTACCAATAACTTGTCCTCATACTACACTATATTGATTTTTTTTTCTGTTATAAGTGGCACCTACTCAGCTAAGAGCAAATGCAAACCCCTCTGAATTTATCATAAATGAAGAAACTCTTGAAATTCCAAATATAAAATAAAATGTTAAGTTGAATCTGCATTTTATTTATAATTCAATGTAAAATATTCAGTTGAAGTTATGCGTTATTCTAGGTTAATAATCAATTTGCTAATTAGCTCACACCTTATAGAATTTGTACAGAAGTGTAAGCAATGGTGGGTAATAATTTGCCTGCCTTTATGTGAGGGCATAAAGAACAATAAACAAATTTAAAATATCAGAGATATATACTAGTGTTAAGAACACAGTTTATTAGAAATTTACTTTGTGTCAAAACCATTTGTGCATGCGATGGTAAACGATTTGCAGACGTCTAATATGTACAAATTCTAAGAAATATCAGTAGTTTTTCTCATTTATATTGGGACTGTGAGAGACCTCAGCCTCTTGATTGCCGGAAGAATTATTGCGAAAATTGCTTACATGGGTAGTAAAAAAGATGGTGTAAGTTCAGACTTTTGGGGAAACTACATGGTTTTAAAGAAAATTTCCATTGGAAAGAGGCCTAAAGGTGAAAAATCACTGTAGTATACACCAATTCTAAGAAATGTAACAAATGTATAACATCACCTTACCTGGACATTGTAAGGAGTATCCAATGTTTGGATCTTCTACGAAAGATCTCTGATCTAGTGAGACTTGAGCATAAGATTTGAAACAGTCAATACACATCACATGTTTATCTGGACAAGGATAAACCATCACAGGAGAACTGAAACAGAAAAATAAAACCTTCAAGAGCCAGCTTATTAACCCCAGTTAACCTGCTGGAACAGAAAGTGATAAGTCTTTGCCACCAGTGTAGAACCAGGCCAGCCTGCACGTCTGTGCAGTCTGACCAGGCTCTATACTGCTGGCTCAACTTAAAATCTTTATCTTGATATCCCACCAAAAAAATGAAAAAGGACATTTCCAAAACGGAAGCTGGACAAGTCTATTTAAGAAATTGGTCAAAGCAAACTCAAGCTATTACCTGAAAACTGAATTTCTTTTTTTAAGCAACAGTGACCTTGACCTTGTTAATAGACAACTAAGTAGCAATCCCAAGTTGTGTCTTGATATCAACATACTAAATTTGGTGTCAATCGGTCTAAGCAAACTCAATTTATTATGTGGAGACTGAATTAATATTCTCAGCAACATTGACCTAGATCACAGACATCTGGGTAGCAATCCCAAGTTGCGTCCTGATATAAGCTACCTACACACAAAATTTGCTGCCAATAGGCCAACCAAAAGTTGACGTCACCCTCCGACTTCGACATTACAATAACCAGTTTTCGTTGAAAACCTGGGTAATTAAGAAAGTAACATTAAGAAATTATAAATATGAAAGAGCAAACGTGTTCATCTTTACTGATATGATATACAGAAATGCTTTTAATTTTTGTACAGAATTATGTACAAGAGAGAACACCTACCATTCTATTGAACAGGTGACACAGTCTATACAATGTCTGTTGGGACGGACATATCTCAATGGTGTACATTCTTCTTCCCCATCATGTTCACAACATTTAAAGTAAAATTGCTGAAAGTATATCGTGTTTGTTCCATTAAAGTATTCACAACAATGAAGGAATATAATTAAATCATCATCTTTATATGAATAAGCTGCGAGTTGAAACATTAATAGGTTTGAATAAATCATGTATCAAAAATAATGACCACAAACTTAGCAAAATCTGCAGTGTTCATGGTGTATAATAGTATCTCCATGCAATGTTACTTTTGCAACTGGTGTGTAAAGACTAATTTTGCGGCTTTATATAATTTTCACATAAACAAAAATCGTGACAACTGATATACAATTTGTTTTAAGCAATTTCAGTATGTTTTCATAGGCCATATTTCAAATTTTGATTCGCTTTTCTGAAAAATCAATAGGTAAAAGCAATTAAATGATGCCTTTCTAGATAAAATTTATAATTAATGTAAAACATGTTACAATCAAGCACATCCAGCTGTCACAGTTCAATGATGAGTCCCGTGAATAAAAAGTTGATACCATACATGTATGTTAATATATTATCTTAACCTGCTAAATTCCTGTAATGGATATTTTGTTTGGAACACTCCATTAAAAGTTAAGGAATTTTAAAATTTCAAAAGACAACAATTGACCTACCACCAGTATAGAATCTGGTAAAGTTTGGCGAGCATGCTGACTTGGTTCTATATTGGTGGCAAAGGTTAATCACTTTCCAGTGTTTTTTTTCTTTATATAACTACTACCCTAAAACGGTACCATTCCCAAAAGAAAATAGACATTAAAATTCCCAATTTCCAATGTTAAATTCCCAAAATGACTGTTCAAAATGCCCACAAGGCAAAGTGATTTTTCTCAAATCATTTAAATCCAACATATTCATATAAATCACCACTCAATAGTTCTATCTAGACAGTAGAAGCTGTTAGCTATCTTTATTCATGATGTCTAATCTCATTTGTAGCTCAAAAAATGCATTAAAAAAATTCCCAATTTTAGTCAAAATAACGCATTTTTTCCCAATCAGTCTCAGGTACCGGCACCATTCCCAAAGTAGAGAAAAAAACGCTGCTTTCAATTCAAACTTAAATTAAGGCTAATCAACAAAATTTAAACAAGAGCTGTCAGACAAGTGACGAAATGCCCATAAAAGGTTTCTTAAGCATGCAGGTATTATGAAAAGAAAAGAGAATGAAAGTAATTTATTTCTTAATATTGTTCTTGTGAAATGAAGTGCTATTTATAGCGAACTTAACACGTTGGGACAAGGGTCTTGGATGCGACACATCATCGGGATGTGGTTGACATTTATGCAAAGTTATTTAAAATCCTTCTATGCATGACAATGCTACAGTTTGGAAACTATTATATTATAAATAAATGTGTACCTTCAGACTCTTCTTTTGGGCATAAGTACCTTCAAACTATTAGAGTGACCTTGACTTTGGAGGTAGGAACATGGGTCTTACACACAACACATCATCTTGATGTGGTAGACATTTGTGTCAAGTTATTTAAAACTCTTCAATGAATGACAAAGTTATAGTCCAGACACAAATGTGTGTACCTATAATCTCTAATTGTGAAAGAGTGAACATTCTAAATATCTGTGACCTTCACCTTTGAACAAGGGCCATGGTTCTTGGACGCGTCACAATGTTGTCATGTTATAGACATTTGTGCCAAGTTATTTCAAAATCCCTCGATGAATGACAAAGTTACAGTCTTGACATGATTGTTGTGTAAATGGGGACGCACAACAGATGAACGGACATGAGCTTAGCCACAACACATCGTCTTGATATTGTAGACATTTGTGCCATGTTATTTTAAAATCCTTCCATGTATGACAAAGTTACAGTTTGGACATGAATGTGTATCTTCAAACTCTTCTTGAGAGAATGAGTACCTTCAAACTATAAGTTTGACCTTGACCTTTGAGGTAGGGACATGGGTCTTGGACGCAACATGCATGGGTGCAAGTAAAAAGCAGTCAGGACACAAATGAAGTGGGGACAGACGGATGGACAGACAGACGGATGGTGTGATTTTATATGCCACCCTTCGGGGAGCATAAAAAACACTCCATCAAGAATTTATTAAATTAGAGCTTACTCCAAAATCATTATTATTCATGGGACACTAAGTTGCATTCTTTTCGTGGGAAGGTCAATTTATTTATTCTACATCAAACAAATTTCATTTTGTTGGTTATAAAATCATTACATTATTTGCATTTGTTTGAAAACATAGACAATCCACGAATTTAAGAAGCCACAAAATGTACTTTGTGACAAAACCACAAAACTTCATCATGCATACAAAATCAAATGACTTTACAGTATATCAACAGTTTTGCACCACACAATCTTCAACAGATAATTTTTTAGCAAGATGAAATTACGTTTAGCAATAATAAACACTCAATCTTAACAAGGATGCAAATTGGATTTTAAAACATACTCGAGTACAGTTCAAATATCACCATGATATTAAACAGTTTGTTTGTTTGTTTAATTTGGGTTTTAGGTCACACTGACACATTATAGGTCATATGGTGACGTTCCAGCTTTACTGGTGGAGGAAGACCTCAGATGCCCTTCCGTGCATTATTTCAGGCACGAACAGGCACCTGAGTAGAACCACCGATGTTCCATAAGCTTGCTGGATAGCAAGTCCCTGTCGGGATTCGAACCCACAACGGTGAGGGGCAAGTGGTTTGAAGTCTACCACTCGGCCATGGACGCTCCAATGATAAACAGAGACTATCACTAAATTACATTAACTTCAGTACAAGAGTGGTTGGGGGAACAAGACAGGGATAATATATACTAGGACTTACAGCAATAGTTGTATCATCACAGGTGGTACAGTGACCATTCAATCTCCCTGCAACAAGGACATCATCCCAGTTACTTGGTTCCTGGCAATATAAACATTTCAACGCTGTTATATTTCATTTTGTTTTCTTTTCAAAGCTATATGTGCAAGGGCAACATGCCATGCCCTAGGTTACATCTGACCTTGACCTTTGACCTAGTCAATCTGTTCTTGTGCATGACAGGTTGTCTCATGATGTTGAACATCTGTGCATGGTTTTTGAAATTCCACCAGGTAGTGATAGATTTATGGTGGGGATACGCTGTTTGAGACTATTGTTTTGCATTTGACCTGAGAGTAAGACCTTGACCTTCAATCTAGCCACACCGTTCTTGCCAGCGATACCCAATCTCATGATTTTGAACATTTGATGATTTTGAACATTTGTGCCAGATTATTAAAAATTTTGAAATTCCCCCTGCTAGTGATAGGGTTATGGTGCGGACAAGCTGTTTGAGGCCATTATTTTTTGCATTTGACCTTGAAGTATGACCTTGACCTTTGACCTACCCACATGGTTCTTGCATCTCATTGTGAACATTTGTGCAAAGTTATTTGAAATGCTGCCTACTAAAGACAGAGTTATGACCTGGATAAGCAAAATCCAGTAGGAAGTAAGACCTAGCATGACACGCCATCTCATAATGTTAAACATTTGTGCTAGGTTATTTGAAATTCTACAGCTAGTGATAGAGTTAATGTACTGACAAGATGTTTGAGACCATTTTTTTTTGCATTTAAAGTATGACATTGACCTTTGACATAGCCACACAGTTCTTGAATATGACATGTCGTCTCATTATTGTGAACATTTTTGCTAAGTTATTTGAAATTCTACCAATTAATGATAGAGTTACAGCCCATACAAGAATAATCCAGATGGATGCACACATGCACATACACCGGATGGTCATAAGGTGACAACTATGTTGAGCTCTCCACAAGCAGGATTGACGATAACTATGCAAGGAAAATCAGTATTATCAGAAAATGCCATGTTTTACACTGTATAAAGCTATATTTATACCTGTTGCCTGTAGTTCATTGAGGTAACTTTCAAAATATGTGTATGAAAAAATTAGTCAAAATATTTAGACCTACCAAAGCTAGATTCTGCAATATATTTGCTCTGGGTCAGAATCTTGCTTCTAGATGGAAGATATTGACCATACACGAAATAGCACAATATCTTAACACATCGTACAATTAGTAAGACTACAAAGATATATGCTAAGCTTTCCTAACAGAATATTGCACAATTCCTACAAGAATTTATTGCAAACGGTTAAAACTATAAACTAGTAAAATATTTTGAAAAAGAAATATTTTTATTCTGTTTTAATATAATATTCATGTGTTGAATAACAGAGACATTCTTACGTCACTGAAAATTTACCATAAGAAACCACATCACCTTGTATATGAAAACAACTTAATTTTACAAAAAATATTTCAATAGATATAACTATACCTTTTAATAGATTTTCATTTAATTTTAAAATTACTAATAATAGGTTGAATAGCCAAGGATCATAAAAATTGTTTAAAAAGATTATTTGGTTATTTCTCTCAAATTTATTTTCTAATGTATTTCATCACAACATCTTTTAATAAATCTGTATATATGTAGAGGTGTCATCGATAAGGATTTTTGTATCGATATATCGGTAATGAATTATCAGCGATACAGCGATATATCGATTGCCAGGCTAAATTTTAGCTTTCAAGTCTTTTTAAATTAATGTTTCCTAAGGACACTGACAAAGCAGTTATATTAAGACAAATGCAAAAAAGATAAACTATGAAAACCGAATAATTTGTTTCTTTTTTTATCATATAGCTATAAATGAAAACTAATGACTATAGTAACTATAAAGTTTAAAGCCTTTTCCATTTTACTTTTGTTGTTGTTGTTGCTATTACCTAGTTACTGATCATGCTAAATCCCGTCCTTGCCGTTCCAATTAAGCCGAGTTTAACTGGCAAATTATAGTGTTTAGAACCTGAATATTTATTAAAGTTTAACATTTTGTAATCATAATTTTTACAAAGAAACACTGACAATTTTTTCTTGGCATTTTCCCTTTTTAAAATCTGAATTGAGGGGTCTTGACATCCACTTAGCAGACGTGCGAGATTACAACGAAATTAGGCAGCATTCGTTAAGAGACACTTGGAGGTAACTTTGGCATTGATTTACGTTTTCATTTTAGAAAAAAAATGTTTCTGGCTTCCATAACTTTATATGTCGCTTTTATTTTGACGTTTTGCGACAGTAAACAGGTCTATCAGTTCTATAAAACCTGTTCGCTGAAGTCTCTTTAGCTAGAAATATATGTGCATTCGATATCCGATATTTAAAAAATGGAATCGATATCGAATCGGATAACAAAGATCGTTGATACACCGATATCGATTGAATCGATGACACCCCTATATATATGCATATAAGCAATGACCAATAAAAACAAAGAACTACATAGGAAATTCCATAGTTTTAAATGGAATAATTTCTGTGAAAAATCTGTGAGTTTTGACTCAATAATTGTAAAGATTTACCCCGAGCAATCTAAAAAATTGTTTAACTAAAAATCTTACAAATTCTCAAAGGGTATAATTCAATCACAATCAATTGATATACAGTTGTTATAGCCAACACTAAGTCTTGTTTGATACAAAATGATTTAACATGACAATGTACAATTAAAACGAAAATATATATTAAATACCTTGTTTAGTAAAATTGAGCCCTCCATGCAGTTAACACAACGAACTCGTAATTTGCCCGGGTATAATCCGCAGCATGTCTTACAGTACACGTAATACTGGTATCTCTTGTTTACTGCTGTAATCAATTTCTCAATTAAAATACACACTGCATAACAAACGTTTAAATTCATAATTATACAAAGCTAATTTTCAAACAAATGTAACATGTTTGTATTTCTATGGAAACAGAAAAAAAAACTTTATGTTTTAACAACACACTGCTACATACACCTTCAGATTTTGTCATTTCATCTGATAACACTAAAACGAAACAATATTTTGTAGGGAGTTTCCATTTAGAATCAGGTAACATCTGTTGTATATGTCGTAGGATTCAAAAGATCAATTTCCACGAAATACAAAAACTATAATTATATATATTATTAAAGCAGCAGGCCTCCAGGTTCTTGCTTATTTTCATGAATATTTTAAAGTTGTATTAAAAAGTAAAATACTGTCAAACAAACCAAGAAAGTGATTTACACATTGCAAACATCAATTAAAATCTACAAAAATTACCAAAAATAGGTCATAATATGGAAAAGTAATCTTTACTGCTTTAGTCACTCAGTACAATATACCGGTATGGTGATAGGTAATGCAAAATCTGTCATTAAACACATAATATTATAACATGTAAATTCTTACTTGAATCTTACATCATTTTATTTTTCTCAAAATCTTTGTACATTTTACTTAAGTTAATTTTTCTTTAAATATTTTGGTTCGACATCTGCAGGCATGCCGCTTTAAAGTACATGTACATATTAACACTGAATGTCACGTTATTGATACATGTATTTATATTCAGAAAATGCTCTATCAAATGATGTTTGGATACATTGTATGAATATTCATTAGATAAATGCACAATGTTTACTTAGCCTGCTTTTGAAACATGTAATGTCCATCATTAAAGCGATAAATCTACCACTCATGTTTTTTAGTGCTTCATGAAATTAAATGTCATCAAAAAATTAAATTACACAACAAGTTTTATATATTAACATAAAACTAAATGATTGAATACATCTCTTGTGCCTAGAAATAATAGCTTTAAAATTAAAGTTTTGCCACTTTTACTTTAGTCAAATTTTAAACTGCTGAAATTATTTTTTGTAAGCATTGGGGTAAATGGTTTGTGTGTGTAGATTTAAAGAATTTAAAAATTATTCAATATTACAGTACTGAACCAATCTTATGAATTTCTCTGAATTAAAAACCCAGCAGTATAATAAATCAAACTGCATTTCAATATTGCAGTCATGCCCGATTCTATAAATTAAATAATACGTTTGTAATCACTGCCGCTAAATTCCAACAGTTTATAAACTGCAACATATTTATAATCTCCAACATATTTTTTTTCTTTTGCTTCCGGGTTTCCAACATTTTTGCAAACGCATTTTGATACACCTGTATGTCCTTCCATGCTCATTAAAAGTTAAACAAGAGCTGTCGGTAGGACAGCAACGCTCGACTATTCTTAGTGCTTGATAGTAAAAAAAATGCTTGATACAGTTACCTCCTCCTGTTTACAGGTTGGGGTCATGATGGTGAACAAGTGTGCAAAGTTTCAAAGCCATATGTCAATGGACTTTGAAAATATTTGAACTATTACAAAAACTTTAACGTAAATTCTAAGTCGAAAAAGGGGCATAATTCTGTCAAAATGCTTGATAGAGTTACCTCCTCTTGTCTACAGGTTGGGGTCATGATGGTGAACAAGTGTGCAAAGTTTCAAAGCCATATGTCAATGGACTTTGAAAATATTTGAACTATTACAAAAACTTTAACGTAAATTCTAAGTCGAAAAAGGGGCATAATTCTGTCAAAATGCTTGATAGAGTTACCTCCTCTTGTCTACAGGTTGGGGTCATGATGGTGAACAAGTGTGCAAAGTTTCAAAGCCATATGTCAATGGACTTTGAAAATATTTGAACTATTACAAAAACTTTAACGTAAATTCTAAGTTGAAAAAGGGGCATAATTCTGTCAAAATGCTTGATAGAGTTACCTCCTCCTGTCTACAGGTTGGGGTCATGATGGTAAACAAGTGTGCAAAGTTTCAAAGCCATATGTCTATGGACTTTGAAAATATTTGAACTATTACAAAAACTTTAACATAAGTGGTTACGCCGACGCCGACGCTCGGGTGACTGCAATAGCTCTACTTATTCTTATCGAATAGTCGAGCTAAAAACTGTCATTTAAACTGATTTTTTTTCTTCAAACTTCATAGAAATTCATTTCAATAAGTATAAAACTAACCCGATCTACTACTATTCTGCCTAACTGACAACAATGGCTCTGACTGTGCAGCAGACCCAACTCTATACAAGTGAAGAACACTACCTTGACCGAGATTCAAGTCCTGAAAAAAAACACCAGAAAAATGATTGCTTTAATTATAATATCTTGATGTCATTTTACAAATATAATTCCTTTACATGGAAAAATAAACTGATAATTCTCTGTTTTTGATATGTTCACTTGAGTGAGTAGCATATGACTTTCATTTATTTTTTTTGTTCATCAATTAAACAAAAAAAGTACAGAGGCTTTCAGCTTATTTGAAATGCTTGTAGCACATATCACAACAAGAGGGCCATGATGGCCCTGAGGTCGCTCCCTGTATATAGCCCCCCCCCCCCCCCCCAGGGCCAATTTTTACCCAAGGGCTTTTATTTGAACAGACTTGGTTAGACACCCATAAGAAGATGTTTCATGCTAAACATCTAAGTTCTAGCTCATTCCAGTGTTTTTTAAAAGAAGATTTTTTAAGTTTTTTACTATATGCATATAGTTAAAAACAATGACACCCCTGGGGCAGGGCCAGTTTTGACCCCCGGGCTTTTATTTGAACAAACTTTAACTTTTTACATATTTACTTAAGATGTTTCATGCTTAATATCTAAACTCTAGCTATTTGGGTTTTTCAAAGAAGATTTTAAGTTTTTGCTACACACATATAAGGAAAAAAAAAATGACCCCCGGGCGGGGCAGTTTTGACCCCAGGCTTTTATTTGAACATACTTGGTAGACACCCATTAGAACATGTTTCATGCTAAATATCTTAGCTCTAGCTCTTTGGGTTCTTTAAAAGAAGATTTTTTAAGTTTTTACTATATGCATATAGGGAAAATCAATGATACACCCCGGGGCAGGGCCAATTTTGACCCCAGGGCTTTTATTTGAAAAAACTTGGTAGACATTCACTAGAAGATGTTTCATGTCAAATATCTAAGCTCTAGCTCTTACAGTTCTTTAAAAGAAGATTTTTTAAGTTTTTACTATATGCATATAGGGAAAATCAATGACCCCCTGGGGCGGGGCCAATTTGACCCCAGGGCTTTTATTTGAACACACTTGGTAGACATTTACTAGAAGATGTTTCATGCCAAATATCTAAGCTCTAGCTCTTACAGTTCTTTAAAAGAAGATTTTTTAAGTTTTTACTATATGCATATAAGGAAAATCCAAATGAACCACCGTCCCCCCCGGGCGGGGCCAATTTGACTCCCCCCAGGGCTTTTTTATTTGAACAAACTTGGTAGACACTCATTAGAAGATGTTTCATGCTAAATATCTTAGCTCTAGCTCTTTGGGTTCTTTAAAAGAAGATTTTTTAAGTTTTTACTTATATGCATATAGGAAAATCAATGCCCCCTGGGTGGGGCCAATTTTGACCCCAGGCTTTTATTTGAACAAACTGGTGGTAGACATTCACTAGAAGATGTTTCATGCCAAAAATCTAAGCTCTAGCTCTTACAGTTCTTTAAAAGAAGATTTTTTAAGTTTTTACTTTATGCATATAGGGAAAATCAATGACCCCCGGGGCGGGCCAATTTTGACCCCAGGGCTTTAATTTGAAACAAACTTGGTAGACACTTACTAGAAGATTTGTTTCATGCCAAATATCTAAGCTCTAGCTTTACAGTTCTTTAAAAGAAGATTTTTTTAAGTTTTTACAATATGCATAAAGGGAAAATCAATGACCCCCTGGGGCGGAGCCAATTTTGACCCCAGGGCTTTTATTTGAACAAACTTGGTACAGACTCATTAGAAGATGTTTCATGCCAAATATCTAAGCTCTAGCTCTTAGGGTTGTTTAAAAGAAGATATTTAAAGATTTTTCTTTCGGTTGCCATGGCAACCAGAGTTCTGCATGGAATTAAATTCTTTGAACAATTTTTGAAGGTGACCACCAAAGGAGCATTCCTGTGAAGTTTGGATGAAATTGGCTCAGTGGTTTATGAGGAGATGTCATTTAAAGTAAAAGTTTACGGACGGACGGACAGACGCCGGACGAAAAGCGATCACAAAAGCTCACCCTGTCACTTTGTGACAGGTGAGCTAAAAACATTATTAAATGTCACAACCAATGACCCTCAGTTCGCCATTTAGGTACAGAAATATGTGTAGCATAGCAAGTCTAACATTTACATCCTTTAATGTTCACTGGTTGATCATCTAATGACTCACCTCTGACTATTAGACATTGCTTACAGAGGCAATTTTTAGACCTTCAACCTATTATGTTAATGCTTCAGCAGGCATTCATTAACTGTCATTCAAATTTTAGATGAGGGGTACTTTTTCAACTTTAGAAATTTCTCAAATTTCCCTGAATGCTCCGCAATTTTCCCCCATTTTAAACTTAAAATAACTAAAAAAAGGCCCTGATATAACTAAAATGTTTACTATTGGTATAATGTATGAAAGAAACTGACATTATTGCATTATCCCATTATGACACTGAGATCCAAGTACTGTGTTACCTTGACTTTTGGACTGCTAAACTGGCTCTAATGCACTACATATGCTGCATACACATTTATGCAAAGTTATTTCCAAATCAATCTTGGACACAACCATTCATGCACTTTTGAGAAATATTATGTTTGAAATCTAAGTGTGACCCTGAACATGAGCTACAAACCTGTGTCTTGATTGCAACACATTTTTGGAAATGACAAGAAAACATACATTCAATGAAATTCAATTTAACCCATCAATAAAAGGCTATGTCAATTTAACTCATCAATAAAGGTTATCTATCTATTCTGTACTGAAACTGCATCACGCCCTTTCAAGTATTTTGTGCAGGTGCAGTGACTGCATGTCAGTGCAGGGCATTAAATGAAAAAAAAAATAATAACACAAATAATGTATTTGTGAGAAATTCATAACAAATTGATAATGTTAATAAAAAGTTAGATATACAGTTAAACTGTTAAGAAGGCTCGGAACTAATGGGATAGTTCAGTTACCCCTTGCCAAAACTGATCCAGGGTAGGGGCTTGTACAACATTGGCCAGAGGAGAATTTTAATGTATGATGGTTGCTGGGTGAAAAGAATGCCAAATCTTTCACTTTGAGAGTGAAACATCTTGATGTGAATCTTCTTGGGAGTGAAACATCTGTCTACTGGTAAAAAAATGACTTATAGTTGCATGGAGTATACATTTAGTCTGTAAGAAAGGGAATCTTGTGTCTAGTGAGCCGGGTAGGAGTTGTAACATAAGGAGACATTTATGCTGCAACCACTTCATGAACAATCATATATCTTACATCAGTAGCCTGGTATCAATCCTTCTGAATACAAGAGCCGGTTGAACCGGGGGATGCTCCCCGAATAGGTTTTGGACACAGGAAGGTATACCTCTTGTTGTGTCAGAGTTATGTCACAGACAAAGTTCAAAGTGTAAAAACAACCCAAATATTGTGCACGACACATTGTCTCAATATGGTGATCATTTTTGTGAAATAGTTGTAAAATCCGACTTCAAATAACGAAGTTATGCGCCGGACATGATTTTGCTTCAAGGTAGCGACCCAAATGTTGCATGCGACACGTCGATTCAATATGGTGATCATCTCTGAGAAATAGTTGTTAAATCCGACTTCCAGTAAAGAAGTTATGGGCCTGACACGATTTTGCTGTCACGATTTTGCCGTGACCTTGACCTTCAAGGTAGCAACCCAAATGTTGCGCGCGACACAATGTCTCATTGTGGTGATCATTTCTGTGAAATAGTTGTAAAATCCGACTTCAAATAATGAAGTTATGTGCCAGACACAATTTTGCTGCAAGGTCATGCTGTGACCTTGACCTTCAAGGTAGCGACCCAAATGTTGCGCGCGACACATCGTCTCAATATGGTGATCATTTCTGTGAAATATTTTTAAAATCAGACTTCAAATAATGAAGTTATGGACCGGACACGATTTTGCTGCAAGGTCATGCTGTGACCTTGACCTTCAAGGTAGCAACTCAAATGTTGCGCGCGACACATCGTCTCAATATGGTGATCATTTCTGTGAAATATTTTTAAAAATCCGACTTCAAATAAACAAAGTTATGGGACCAGAAACGATTTTGCTGCAAGGTCATGCTGTGACCTTTGACCTTCAAGGTAGCGACCCAAATGTTGCGCGCGACACACGTCGATTCAAATATGGTGATCATTTCTGTGAAATATTTTAAAATTCAGACTTCAAATAATGAAGTTATGGACCGGACACGATTTTGCTGCAAGGTCATGCTGTGACCTTGACCTTCAAGGTAGCAACCCAAATGTTGCGCGCGACACATCGTCTCAATATGGTGATCATTTCTGTGAAATATTTTTAAAATCCGACTTCAAATAACAAAAGTTATGGACCAGAAACGATTTTGCTGCAAGGTCATGCTGTGACCTTGACCTTCAAGGTAGCGACCCAAATGTTGCGCGCGACACGTTGTCTCAATATGGTGATCATTTCTGTGAAAAAGTTTTAAAATCCGACTTCAAATAACAAAGTTATGGACCGGACACGATTTTGCTGCAAGGTCATGCTGTGACCTTGACCTTCAAGGTAGCGACCCAAATGTTGCGCGAGACACGTCGTCTCAATATGGTGATCATTTCTGTGAAATATTTTTAAAATCCGACTTCAGATAATGAAGTTATGGGCCGGACACGAATTCGGGACGTATGTACGGACGGACGGACGTTTTCGGGGAGCATAAAAAGGGAATGCATGTTTGTGACACTGTTACCCTTTTATTTAGTCAAAAATAGCACATAGCTCTTCTACCAACAACCAGTAGTTCTACTTGCTCCCAGTGTGAGGATGTGTAGATAATTGCCATTAGGTAAACAAGAACTGTCCAAGGAGCAGCGCCCTAAAACCAAGTAAATAGCTTTAATAGTTTCTGAGAAAATTGTCCTTTATTTATTATATATTTAAGGTCACAGTGGCATTCACCTTTTGATCTGACAAGTAGAATAAAGTGTATCCACATTTGAAGTTTCAATGTTATAGCTTAGTAGTATTTATTTAAGTTAAGGTGACAACGGAGTCAATTATCACTGAAAATACCGAAAATGAGATTTTTTGCTTAGTAGATTTATCAACCTTTTCTGAACACATTCGTGATTTAATTTTGGAAGCAGTTAGTCCAAAAAATGTGTTTTTAAACGTTTTAAAACGGTATCTGTACCATTTTTATCTGCTATTCTCGTAATTCTGTCAATTATCGATAACGCCCTCCGCCCCCTGTTGAGGGCATCAATGAGGGATAATCGGTAGTTCCATATATCGTTGAATTACCGTCCATACTGCTCGTAATTCATGTATCGTACAAATACCCTGCATCTTTATAAATATCGTCTACCTTTTATTTGCATTTTTATAAAATAAAAGATTGTCGGCCAATGTACGTAACATAATGTATGAAAACATAAAATAATTAAGCATAGCGGCAAATCGTTTACGACCCACGGGTTGATAAAAAAAATATAGTTGCTAAAATTATCCATAATGTGTAAAATAATTTGTCTGTCCGTTAATCTGATAGATATTACATTGAGTTTTGGACTTTTGTACGGATTCAACAACTTGCTTTTTACATTCAACTCGTTTTTCTAACAATGTCAAGGAAAACAACAAAAAAAAACAAACAACATTTTTTTATGTGAAACGCCTATATGACTTTGTGGTACGGTGTCCCTGACAAATTTCTAAACCATTTTTAGATTTTTAAGGATATTTATTTCTCTATGAATCAATAAAAAAAGATATTAAATTATATTATCAGTGAATGCTTTGAATAAATTGTTCGCCAGTAAAAATCGAACACAGTTCTAATAAACCTTGACAAAGTATGGAATTTATTTGTATATCCCAGTAGAAACTTGATATCTATACCGTGCATAGATTATTTTCATGAATAATAAAGTCAAGAAGATCATTTCATAATTGATCGAGTGATACCTTTTTATTTCTATTAAAATATGTGAAGCATTTTATATCAATTTGGAGGAAAAAATATAAAATATCCCGTTCTTATTTGTACATCTACCCATGGCCTTTAAAATAACCGTCAGAAAGCTCAGATTTTTATTATTTTAAATTTATATTTTGACTGGAATTTCCATACACGAATACACAGACAGAGTGACACTGGTATAAATATAATAATAATGCTGATGAAACTTCAAAAAGTGAAACAATTAAATACCCCGCTAGCGGTGCGTAAATACGTTCCATTTCCCCCCACCGAGTGCCTCAAATTTTACTGAAGGTCACGTGACATGTGGGACCGATACCAGACGGACAGTAAATCACGTTAAGATTTGAAGAAATTTCTGTTATAAACTGATATTAATCAGCAACTTTTTAATTGGTCAGATGTCACTGGGTCATAAAATGTTGTTAGAGTATGTTACCGCAACCTGTGACCCTTTCTGGTGCGATATTTGTGTATTATGCAATTATTTCGCTGGAAACGTAGGGGTCCGAGAGAGAACAGCCGATTTATGACACTTCGTTTGATGCGGGTCGGACTAACTTTGAATCGGCATAACTTTTTAATAATCAAGCAATTAACATGCGGTTTAAAGCACATGAAAGGGAATTCATTTACCGAGGGAACCGTGTCAGGGATTTTTGTTTGCTCAATCAGCGACTTAATTATCTTTAATTACGTAATATGTATGGTGAAAAAAGTCGCATAAATTGTTTGACGTTACGTAATATTTTTTTGAGAAAAGATAGAAAAAATTTGAGACACGGTTCCCCAGATATTATAAGTATGTTTATTTTCCAAAAGTTTGATAACAAAAAAATAAAAAATGACTTTGATATGACGTTTTAAAATTTTAGGATTTTTATTAAAAATCAATCATTTACAAAGGCATTTTTTTCAAATATGTTATTTTTTATGATGATCAGCGACATTTAATGCACAAAGATTAAATAAATAACAATTATTACTAAAATAAGTTGGTTTAAATGACATTTATGTGAGTACCACGGAAAGTGTCTGTTGTCACCTTAATGACAAACAAAAACTTCACCAAAAAAGGTAAACAGACACAAACAAGTGGGTCATGCCAATACTTCCACTTTCTTACTTCGAAAAGTGGACACACTAATCCTGGATAGTACCTGCACTGCTATTTAAACTGTCCAGGGAGAGTGTGGCGTTGGACTGAACCCATTGCGAAATAATATTAAAACTTTCACATTCTTACTCCATTTACAAAATGTTTCAACAAATTCAAACATGGCCCTCGACTTTGTCATATTCAAATGCATCATGCATAGAACGTGAAAACCAGTCTGTCTCTAGTGGGAAGCATTTGGAAATATGCTGGTTACCATCAGGGTCCTTCAAATTGATTTGAATTACACTGTGCCTACATTCAAAGTGCACTGCATTAGAGTACGGCAAAGCTGAGAGCCACCTTTGAATATGTCGCAAGATTTTGTAAATGGAGAAAAGTATTTACTCTACATATTGAGTGCTTTACATCAACAATGAAGCTTAAAATTGACCATGATCGTGGAAAATAATATATACCGTCAAAATGATTATGTGATAATATATACAAATGTATGAAAGGGAATAACTTGCAAGGTGATTTTGAGGGTCTGCTGATTTTTTCAAACAAACATTTTTATTTTATTCTACATTTACATTAAATAATCTAATAAGGGTTGACAAATATACAATTTATTAAGATTTGAATGCATTTGGACTAGAGGTGCGTGGTTTAAGCGGTATACCGGTAAACCACGGTCTGAGACATCTGTGGTACATACCGCGGTACAGACCTGGAAAACCAGTACTTTTAGCTCTAATTTAAAGCAATTACAGATCCGTAAAATGTACTAAATTAAAAAACTTTTTCTGTTGTATATGTTAATGTTTCTTTGAGTAAACCTTTTTGCAAACAACTTTCGCCGACTATTATCATTCTTCGATAGTTCTTAGCGAAAATTGAATGCTTTATCGATTACCGCATGTAAGCCAGAATTGTCGACTGGCATGATCTCAGTTGAAGAAGCAAGAATTGTCGACTTACATTTTATTACTTGTCCAAATATCGCTTATTTGATACGAAAACTAATCGTAAAGATTGATAATTCATGAGGACATTCCTTGCATAAAATTAGGATGTTACTATTTTAAGTATTTATATAAATAGCGACCAATCAGGCTAGGGGTTTTCCTTACGTCACGCACTTACTGCATGCGCATGGCAATTAACTAATTATAGAACGGCGTAGAAACTGGATTAAAAGTAATGTTCGTTCAACTAATGAATATTAATTAAGCAGTAACATGGTCAGCTGTTTTCTATGTGATAATTTTAATTTGCTTTTGGGGTACATGTTTGTTTTGGTTTTTGACACAGATTAATTAAATACTTAGCCCTTGCAATAAAAAAATTACAATAACAGCTGGGACTCTGTTATAAAATTAACCGACAAATAAATATTTGTCATCGGCTAACGTGCATTTGACCTATTATTCTATTAATCAATAAGCAATAAAAACATTTTATTTTTCCATTTTAACTATGCAATTTATATAACAGTTGTTAAATGTTGAAAGAGACCAATATGTAATAAAAACAAGAGGGCCATGATGGCCCTGAAGTCGCTCACCTGTATATAGGCCCCCCCCCCCCCCACCCCCCCAACGTTGCAGAGCCAATTTAACCCAAGGGCTTTTATTTGCACAAACTTGGTAGACACCAATAAGAAGATGTTTCATGCTAAACATCTAAGCTCTAGCTCATTGGGCTTTTTAAAAGAAGATTTTTTTTAAAGTTTTTACTATACACATATAGTTAAAAACAATGACACCCCTGGGGCCGGGCCAGTTTTGACCCCAGGTCTTTTATTTGAACAAACTTTGTAGACACTCACTAAAACATGTTTCATGCTTAATGTCTTAACTCTAGCTATTTGGGTTTTTTCAAAGAAGATTTTTTAAGTTTTTGCTATACACATATAAGGAAAATCAATGACCCCTGGGGCGGGGACAATTTTGACCCCAGGGCTTTTATTTGAACAAACTTGGTAGACACCCATTAGAACATGTTTCATGCTAAATATCTTAGCTCTAGCTCTTTGGGTTCTTTAAAAGAAGATTTTTTAAGTTTTTACTATATGCATACAGGGAAAATCAATGACCCCCCGGGGCGGGGCCAATTTTGACCCCAGGGCTTTTATTTGAACAAACTTGGTAGACACCCATTAGAACATGTTTCATGCTAAATATCTTAGCTCTAGCTCTTTGGGTTCTTTAAAAGAAGATTTTTTAAGTTTTTACTATATGCATATAGGGAAAATCAATGACCCCCCCGGGGCGGGGCCAATTTTGACCCCAGGGCTTTTATTTGAACAAACTTGGTAGACACTCACTAGAAGATGTTTCATGCCAAATATCTAAGCTCTAGCTCTTATGGTTTTTTAAAAGAAGATATTTAAAGTTTTTTCTTTCGGCTGCCATGGCAACCAGAGTTCTGCATGGAATTAAATTCTTTGAACAATTTTTAAAGGTGACCACCAAAGGAACATTCCTGTGAAGTTTGGATGAAATTGGCTTAGTGGTTTATGAGGAGATGTCATTTAAAGTAAAAGTTTACGGACGGACGCCGGACGAAAAGCGATCACAAAAGCTCACCCTGTCACTTTGTGACAGGTGAGCTAAAAACAAAAAACAAACAAGAACTGATCCATGACCCAATTAGCTTATGATTGTCAACATGCGAAAGTACCTGATTGAAAAAAGTTAAATGATGCTTTGATTAATCTGTATTTTCTAGATCTGCTTAAATTTAATATTTGAAATTCTATACCAGCCTACCTTGATACTTATTTTAGGGATAAAAATTAACCTATAGCATACAATGAAAATCCGTGGTATACCGCGGTTTATACCGTAGTTTTTAGGAAAAAACCATGGTATACCGTGGTATTTTCTTTCTGGCGGTACCCAACTCTAATTTGGACCCCTAGTGTGGGGTAAAAAAGTTTTAGCACCTTCAAGGACGTTTCCACTGGCAGGAGCTTTCCACAGAAAAGCAAATCAAATTCCTCTGTATTCATGCCAGTTTTCTTGCAGAGCTCATTTTTAACATCAAAAATGCAATTTGCTTGAGATATGTCAATGACTTGCTGCTTATTTTTCGCCAGCTGAATATTAACTGAAGTTGACATTTTCCTTTTTGGCTAAATAAACATGGCTAACTTAACGCGGGAAAAGGGACAAGTTGGTTGTAAAATTCTTATGATGTATGTCTCCAAAGCAAACGACAAAACATTTACACAAAATCTCTTATTAATTGATATAAAATTTTTCTATTATA